TAAACGCGCTAGTAAAGATGTCTGTATCTGGTCTTTGTCAGCTAAATATGCTTAAGTGTAAACCAGTTTATGGATCCAGCTAAAATGCTGTGCCAAAACTCAGGGAATGTTCAGTTTCAATTTAATAGGACTTAGTTGAGACAACCGAATCTCTGTCATTGTGTATTCATATTGAATTAAAACTAAAGAAAGAAGTGTTAATTCAATAGGCTTCCAGAAACTTAGTATCATAAATGTGTTACTAGTTTGGTATTTTCAAGCAAATTTAACTTTTAAAAGAAGCAGTGAAGAACTTAGTCCTCTGAAGTGCTGACCACGTGCTTGGTTTTCTACGTAGCTTGACTTTCATCTTGCACTTCCACAGTTAATGTCAGATATGTAGCTATTATCAAACCTCTTGCTTTGCTATGAATTTTGAAACAGTTGATAAAAGCAATAAGAAGTTGAGGTTCTAATAAATTATGAATTAAAAAATATTCCAAATTTTACTTTAACATCTTCATCTGTTTACTGAGTCTTGGTTTAATGTTACTTCAGCAGCTAATTCTCAGTGTTTAACTGTGATAGTTTATACCGAAATGATAATAGAACCTGAACCAAGACAGTTCCACAGAGCTTTCTGCAAATGCCTATGAAATGTCAGCTGTGTGCATGAAAAAAACAAGGCATAAAATGTTTCAGTCATTTCCCTTCTTAAAAAAAGAGTACCAGGGGGTGCCTGAAAGTCACTGAATGACTTGGATGGGCATCCCATTAAGTCAATTTTTCACTTCATTTGAACAGTTTTAGACTTCTATCATTCTCAAATTGCTTCTTTTCAAATTATCTGCACTTCAAAGGAAGCCAAAGTGCTTTGGTTAACAGCAGTTTTGTCCCTCTCCTGCCTTGCTGTGCTGCTAAGCTATGCTGGGCTAATTTGCTCCTTGAGGGCAAAAAACCTTATTTCCCAATTAGGCTTAAATTTTCCTGGTTTGGTTGGTTTTAAGTTTTTCTTCAGTGTTCATACAGAAGGAAATGTGGTCTCAGGATGGGATGGTGGACAGAGAAACAACACTGGGCTCCTTGTGCCTTACCCAGGAACTGAAGTCAGATTTAATCTTCACCTGCAGTTTGGGAGCCACATTGTCATTTGTTCTGCATGTTATCTTTATAATGACATAGCACATAATTTGGTTTTAATAACATGCTGCTCTTGAGTCATGGCTGTGAAGTGTTTCATTTACAGGATTTTGCATGGCTTGTGCAAACTTAAGTGTGGGGTTTTTCCATGGTTTTATGGTCTCCAGTGTTACATAGAATCATGGAATCATGCCACAGTTTGGGTTGGGAGGGATGTTAAACCTCATCTAGCTCCATGGGCAAGGACACCTTCCCCTAGAGCAGGTTGCTCCAAGCCCTGTCGAGCCTGGCCTTGAATACTGCCAGGGATGGGGCATGGGAAAGGAAGGTGTCTGTGGGTTTGCAGGGCAAACAGTGCATAAAACAGCAGCTTTTCAGGCAGAGAGTTCTGGGTATGCTTATGTGAAGGTAGAGTTTCAAACTTCTCTCAAGTAGCTGTGGCGATTCAAGCAGTGATGGTAAGCTGTATTGTCATACAGATTCTCCCAGTGCTTGGCCTTTTCATACCGACTTTGATAGCAAGTCTTCCATAGGGAATGGAAAGAGCTTTAGCAAAAATGGTGTTCAACTAGCCCATCAGACAGTGGCTTTCAAGGCCAGAACATGTTGTGTGGTGTTGGGGTGCTGCCATTTCTCTCTTTATGCAGCATTGTTCTCAGAAACTTGTGAAACACGAGTGTGTTGTACAGCGATGAGGGGTGCGTGGTGCTTGCAGGTGCTTTGGAGTTGATCAGTTCTGTTCAAACTGAAAGCTCATCTGCTTTACTTTTGTCATGCATGCAGTGTCATTCCTTTACTTGAACTGTGTTAAACTGGCTTTTGCCAAATTGTCTGTGATCAGGGTAGGATGTAGACCTCATAAACAGCCTTTGAAACCTCTCAGGAAAGGTATTTAACAGCAGGGTGCATGCGAGGGCTGTCTTTGATCACCTGGTATGATTTGGTTTTACAGAAAGTGAGCTCTTCTTTAGAGGGGGTGAATACCCTTTGACTTTTCTGTTCTATATCTGTGCTGCTCCACTTTTTTTAAAGAGAAAAGTTTCTAATGCCAATGAAACCTCCTCCAACACTAAGTATAAACCTGTCGCTGCCAGTTGCTGGAACTGAGATTGGAAGCTGCTTGTTGATTTGAATTGCTGAACAGATAAGAATGAGTGGTTTTCATTGGAAATCTGTCAGTAGTTATCACTAATACAAATCTGTGGCTTTTAGAATCTCTTCTCATTTTCCTACTGGATTAATTTCAGTTCTCTCTCTCAGTCCTGATAGCTTGTGGTTGGAGTTTCTGAGAAAACGAGATAAAAAAATCAAGCCAACTATACTTTTATTCCCTATTTAAAAAAAATCTGTGCAAGTATTTCATTGACCAAACATTTCATTTTCATATTTTAGGGACCAAACTCTGGGGTTGGGGGCTGGCACTCAACATGGCCAGAGAGATGCCTGATACTAACTATCCTTGTGATGAATCTGCTATATTTGGGTGAATTATGAGAGGCTGGGAATGGTGTTTTTCAGAGCCTCATTGACTTGGCATTAGATTTTACAGAGATTGTCCATGCTGAAACTGGCGTGTCTGCTTACAGCTGCTTTTTTGCCAAGCAGACTGAGCATACCCAGACCATTTCTGTCTGATCTTTTCTGGTTTTTAGCTTCTCATTAGCTCCAGTAGGTGAAGGGGGATGAAGTGGAAAGGTTAACATAGTTTTTTTTCTCATCAGCACTAATACAAAGTTGCCTTTATCCTTATCTTATGTTATCCTTACGTTATGCCTAGATTTTTCTAGTTAGAAACTACTGTGAAAGAGAACACCTATTTCCTTAATTCGTGGGAAAAAAATCTTGAGTCAGAGGTCTTCTTCCTGCAGATAGAACCCATGTTGAAATCAGATTGTTGCTTTATAGACTCCTCTTCGAAGTTTTTTGCTATTTCCCCTCCCTGCAGACATTATGGAGCATTTTCTGGCATATGTTATCATTTAATTCTCCATTTATGTACCACGAGAAAGGACCTGAGTCCTCCAACTTGGAAAGCAAAGTTAGAGCAGTGTTAGATTTGAGCTTTTCAGAGCTGAGATTCCAAGAATCCAGTGTTGTGTTTGCCTTGCTCTTGGGGTATGTGGAGACATGGCTTGCATCAGGCTGGATTTAACTGCTGTTTCAGTGTTTGCTCTCATGCGCAGCCATCAGGTAGCCCTCACTAAAGACATGGGGAACTGCTTACATTAAAAATCCCTTCAGGCTCTGCTTCAGAAGTTTGAAGTGTGCTATCTAGTGCAGCAACACATTTGAAAGCCCAGGTGTTGGCTTAAAGCTGCCTTTGTTATCAGAATGTGGAGTTTAGATGGTTTAGTCAAGCCACTTCCATGTTTGTGTCTTGGTTTCTTCTCATGATTTCCTTGGCCATCGGGTGTGATGTCTTTTGAAGGATACTGTTTCATCCTGTTCTGTCAGATCTCTGTCTGCTGCAGTATGTGTCTCCATTGCCTGAGGGGAGACCACATTCATCTGTTCTGTAATGTATTAACTGTTAAAACTTATATGTAACAAAAGTGGGTATTAGAGGCTTCAAAATCTTGTGCTGAGGAAGGCTACCAGTGTGCAATTCTGGGAGCAAAACCCAGGAACCTTTAAATTGGGATTTCTGGAATTGAATCCTGACTGCATCAGCTCAGTCAGAGTCCAGCCAATTTTCACCTGGCTGGAAGTGACAAAGAGGAAGAAGTGATGCCTTTCTGTATATGTGTGTTTGGCTGAAAAGTGGCATCATCACAGAGACAGCATCTTTAGTCCTAGATTTAGTCAGAATCCCAGTGGTCAAGCTGGAGGCACATCTACCTCTGTTCAGTTTTTGGAGTGGTAGGAGCCTTGTTTCAGGGTTGTATTTGAGTAATGTAAATCTGACCAGGCTTAATTTCATCTTCCAGCAACCGTGAAGCCTTGACTCACATCTTGGGAGACATGACAGAATGAGTTTCTACAGATTTCACTTCTGCAAAACTTGCTTGATCCCATTCCACTAGCTTTAAGAACTTGTCCCTGGATTTGATGGGAAAAGAAACCTGTTCCTGACAACTGCAGAGCTGTTGCTAGCAAATCTGTAGCAATCTTTGATCTCTTTGACAAGAAAAGGTTATCAGAGTGGGATCTGAAGTGCTACCTGCAGTTGATGGATTATTACTAGTGCATTTCCCCTTATGGCTCTGGAGTCATGGCTTGTATGAAGGACTGAACTCAGCACACTGGTAATTGTGTGGGAACACTGCTTTGAGTCACCTGTGATGTAGCTGAACCTCTGCACTACCAGAGGGTGTTCAGCAGTAGCCAGAGTTGTTGAATTGTACAGTCTATATGTACATTTCCTCCTTACCCTGCCGGTAATAATCCTGTGATCATGCTCCACTGAGACTCTGTGGTTGAACAGCAGTTAAAGTAACTCTGCGTGTACCCACCCCTGTGTGTCTGTGCTGAGCACTAGGATGGGGAGGAGGAGGTGAGCACCTCGTTGTATGTGTGTTGAAAACAAGATGTGTGTGTTCAAGTGATCAGCTGTCCATTCATCTGCTAGGAATGTTTTTGTGCAGGCTGCTTGCGCTGCAGATTTGGTCTTGCTGTCTCTGTGGCTTCAGAGTTGGTTCGTGGGTTAAGTGCACAGTAGTGAGATGCTGTGACCTGGTGATTACAGCAATAGATTTAAAACAAGCTTTTACTTAAGCTGGGCAGGATGCAACCCTGTGGTGTTCTAAGGGGATGCAGTAACTTTGGCCTGATGAAATTGCCTTGTCTGCTTTTGGTGAGACCTTTTCGTGGTTATGTACGGAACACAGGTTTTTCAACCAGTGATTTGCTAAAAGCTTCTCTTTTTGTTTTTAATTGTGTAGGACACCTGATGATCTCTCAAGGCAAATTGTGGCCCTGCAGCAAAGGGAGCTGGTGCTGAAAGAGCAGAACTCTTCCATCACGAGCAGGTGAGTGATACCAGTAGTGGTTGCCACTAGCAAGACACTGGTTTATTAAAGCACGTAGAAAGAAAACAAGGATTGCAGACTGAGAGAGCTGCTCTTTAGGTTTCCTTGCTGTTCTGTGGAGCCTTCTATGCTACCTTCTGTCTCATGTTGATGAAGAGTTTATTGCTTACTTAAGTCCTTGCAGGAAGATAAAGATGAAGAACTGTGGGTGGATGCAGTGAAGAGTTTTTCCAGCTTTATTTTATGAGCTAAAGCGCTCACCACAAGGGGAAGTGAGCTGCTTTCCCAGAGAACTTCATCTTGAAAGGGAATGTCAAAACAACATGTGCAAAGTAGTCACCTGTGTATGGGTAAGGGAGTAAGAGCTCTGAGGACTGTGATTTGACTACCTAAAGGACCAGTTTGTGTAGATGATGGTGGAAAAGTCTGTCTGCAATTTTGGCTAGGCTTTGGGAGGAGCAGTCTGTTTATAGAGGGAGATCTTAACATGGTTCTGTAGTGCCAAAAAGTGCTTCTCGTTCTTGGTGCACATATTCTTGCTTCCCACACTGTTTTATTTCCTCACATTAGGAACCCATTGTCTGTTCCTGTTAAAAACAATAACTCTCTCTTTTAAAAGGGCTCTTGGACTATTTGCATTGCCAGGGTGTTAGCTGACTTGTCTGAGCAAAAAATGTGTGGAGAATTTAGTGTAAATGTGTTGAACGTAAAGCAATCAACTACTAAGTAATCGAGCACTGGACAAGCACTCTTAGTTTGTCTTGGGCTGCATTTGCTAATGTGTCTCTTGAGGTCTGTGGTAGATTTTGGTTCAAGAGATGATCGTGGTCTGGGCTCTGCCTTACTAGTGATGGGAAGGATTCAAGCTGGGTCTTAAAAGCTTTGTGTGTGCTGCTGCTCTTAATGAAACTATTTAGTCAGTTGTAAAATTGTTCGAGCCAAGTGCAAATTCCTGTGAGTGCAGCTAGCCAAATTGTTCTGTGGTTTCTGCTAAGAAGTTTAAAAGGGTGAAAAATACCTCACCAATATAAAAAAGACATTTCATATATTAAAAATAAAGCAAGCAAACCCTCAAAGCTGCAGCTGATGAAATGATCAAATGAAAGAATGGTAGTTATGCTTGAGTTCCTGATTTATTTTTGGTTTTAGGCTGCTTCTCACAGCCTGTCAGAGAAATGCTTTTTCTAAATGTATTAATGGCCAAAGGGAATCATCTGTTGCAAAAGCCGCCTTTTGGTAGTGCCTGTTCGTGCTGGATGTAATTGTGCCAATTTAGTTAAAAAATAAAAACATGATTAAGATTACTTTTTGATTTGAAGTGAAATGGGCTGTAAAGTTGCTTCAATTAAAATTCTCACATTTTCTTGATGCAATGCTGTGAGTAATTTCTGAAACTGATAATTTCAGCTCTCTCCTGTCACATACCTTACTCTGTCTGGAAACGGAGGCAATAAGATATATTTTTAAAACCCTTTCATTACAGATGATTCGAAAGTTCCCAAGAGAAGGTCTTTGGGAATAAAACCTTGTTAAGGAAGCAAATCTAATTTTCTCTTTTCCCTGACTCTTCTGCAGATTTAGCTTTTTATTTGTTTCACGATTGTGGTCAGAATGGTCTGCGTATTACAGTAACTTAATATGTGATCATGACTCCCTCTAGTGATGGAGCCCAGCACTTATTCAGCTTTCTATTGTTTCTTTTTTTTCAACCACAAGTTCTTTTGCTCTGAGTTGGAATGTGTCAAGTCTTCAGTACTGATACCACTATGTCTGATTTATGAAGTCGGTGGTTATGTGTGTCTAGAGCAATGTGCAGTACAAAGAAGATTTTTTTTTTTGCCTACCCTACGAAGCTTTGATTTAATTTTCTCCATTAAAATTAATGATTTGGTAGATGCTTAAGAAAACCTCATCAGAAGCTGGTATCTGAATTTAGTTTTATACCAATGGAGAATCACAGACAGTCCTGGCCTACCTGTGCAAAATTCAGCGTAGCAGAAGAGGTTTGAGTGTGGTATTCAACATTCCCTAAATGGCTTGTATTGAGTCTTTGTACACTGCATGTGTGTTTGATTGTTACTGAGCTCTTAAACACAGGCAGAAGTGTGCCTGGAAGGGTTTTTTGTAAACTGATTATTCTTTCTTTCAGTCCTTTCACTGCAGTCTTCCAGGTTTTTATTCCCACTGATGGTACCTTTCCCACATTGCTTTGTGAGTGTGATAGAAACTTGGCAGCTCATGTTTGTCTTTCTTTTTGGCAAAAGGAGATGCTTGGTAATGAAGCAGGAGCTAATTGCTATTGTAGCAGTCTATGAGCAGGACTTCACTTCAGAAAACAAACCAGGCATGGACAAGGTATCACAAGGGAACAATTTGCTTTGTAAGGTGTCTTCTCTTTCTTGAGAAAACCCTGGAGACAGCTCTAGCTCAGCTGCTTCTCAGTGTCCTTTAGCTGATCTAGAATGGAGGTTTATGCTGTTATGGTTTAACCCCAGCTGGCAACTCAGCCCTGCACAGCCACTTGCTCACTGCCTTCTTGAGGGATGGGGAGAGAATGGGAAGGGTGAAAGTGAGAACTTGTGGGTCAAGATACAGATAATTCAGTAAGTAAAGCAAAAGCTGCACGCACAAGCAAAGCAAACCAAGGAATTCATTCACCACTTCCCATGGTCAGGCAGGTGTTCAGCCATCTCCAGCACAGCAGGGCTCCATCATAGGCAACAGTCACTTGGGAAGACAAATATCACCACTCCAAATGTCCCCCCCTTGCTCTTTTTTCCCCCAGCTTCATATGCTGAGCATGATGTTGTATGGTATGGAATATCCCTTGGGTCAGTTGGGGTCAGCTGTCCCAGCCGTGTCCCCTCCCAACTCCCTGTGCACTCCCAGCCCGCTCACTGGTGGGGTGAGGAGCAGAAAAGTCCTTGACTGTGTGTAAGCACTGCTCAGCAGTCACTAAACATCCTGGTTTCCAGCACAAATCCAAAACACAGCCCCATACCAGCTACTGTGAAGAAAATTAACTCTACCCCAGCCAAACCCAGCACATATGGTATACAAACACATTGGTAACGTTTTCCAAATGGCATATGGCTTCACTAAACAGACTAAATTTGTTTTGTCTCATTTTTCCATTCTTGAACTGCTCTCCATTTATTACTGTTTATTTTTTAGAGACAGTGTTTCTGTTATTAAAAAGGCAATAGAGGTCATCACACTACAAAAAGGCTCCACTGCTACAAATGAGCCCCTGCATTGATATTCCATTCCCCCTGCCTCTGGCTTGGGGGATCTGAAGGGCAATCTGTGTTTTGTGTAACCCCTGCAATTGCTGGTGTCTCCAGACCTCCTAGAGATCAAATGGTAATGCGTATCATATTTTCTGTACAGCTCAGATGGGATGCTTTTAGACACAGAACCACAGGACTGAATTTTCTGAACAGTGGGTTTAAATCAATTTCTTTTAGCAGTGATTGTTTACATGTTGGAGTTGTGTAGGCTCCCTTGGAGCTTGCTATTTTTGCTAGGGAGGAAAACCTTCCTGTGGTGCTAGAATGGGGAAGAGGAGAGGCTCACTCTTACACCGAACACATAAGTGGCAACTCACTTCTCTTTGCAACTTCAGGATTGCTGAATAATGTAGCTGAAAGTGCCATTAATAGTGTGAGATGGAATCTCACTGCTGTTTTGGAGTGTGTTGCTACAAGTTGTGTAAATATAGTAAATTATGCTTGCAGCAGTAATTTTTTTTCTGCAACTGCAGAACAAAGATAACAACCCAAAGGTTTAAAGCCCAAAAGAAGGTTGCTTAGGGGCTCCTTGATAACCTCCTGTACCTGCTCTGCTCTTCAGGACAAGGTAATGAAAGAAAGGTGTTTAATTAGTGGCTTAGTTGAACCATGCAGCCATCACTAGTGTAAGCACATTTTTCCCCCAGAGTGTGAATGCTATAGGTGTAGTAGTTGAAATCTGCTTTTTCAGGAGGAGTTGATAGTTGTAGTTTGTAATGTATATTAGATATAAGGAAGAAGTTCTTTACTGTGAGGGTGGTGAGGAGCTGGCACAGGTTGCCCAAGGAAGTTGTGAATACTCCATCCCTGGCAGTGTTCGGGGCCAGGCTGGACAGAGCCTTGGTTTAAGCCCCAGGACAGGTGACGTGGTCTAGGGGTGAGGTGTCCCTGCCCATGGCAGGGGGTTGGAACTGGCTAATCTTAAGGTCCTTTCCAACCCAAACCATTCTATGAGCATGGAAAGTTGGCCAAGCAGTTTATAAGCTTTTGTCTTAGGGAAAAATGATGTAGTAGTTACACTATTTTTTTTAAGATAGAAGAGAGACATATTTATTTTTCCAGAATCCTGTCTGCATATTTAGAGTCTCTGGAGAGATTTCCTACAACAATCCTGGCAAAGGATTCTAGAATTTGAAATGTAAGGGAAAACTTCCCCTCTGGTCAGTGTTGTCCTCTG